GTTAAAACTATCATTTGGCCACTTTTTTAATACCACATTGCCCTACAAGTCTTAATGGTATAATGATTAATTTATAGCTAAAATGTTTTAATGCCTTAAAATAAAGGAAAAGTTGTTACTTACAAGTAAAAATAAATCAACCGCATTCCAAAAATTAAAATTTAATAAGCAGGATCAAGCAAATGAAAGTCAACATTGGGAAAGGATGCCCAGAAGCCATTTTCCCATTCGAGTCCTTCACATTTTAAAGGACCCACGCAGTTGCAAAATGCAGGGCACAGTGGCTAACCCATGGCTTTAGAGGCAGAAAGCGAAGGATCTATACGATCCTGCATGATGGTTCACAAACGAATTGCCCTAGAAAAATCCATCGCTTGAAAAGGGTTCTAACATGAGCTCTTTGCTTGGGGAAAGGATAATTAAATCATACGAGAAGGTTGAAAGGACCCAAAAGTCGATTGGCATATTCAGATATCAATTCCGCTGCACTAAAAGGTTGTTTTTGACTTTTAAAATCTATTGATTTTTTCTAGGTTCAATTCGTTTGTAGAAACCATCATGCAGGGCCTGAAAAAAGGCTGTTGGGTGAATATCCTTACCAAAGTCCTTCTTATCATCAACTTCGATACGTGTTGAGAAGATCTGGGGGTTGACATTGTCCTTTTATACGATCCTTACGCTTTCCTGGCCTCTCAAAGCCATGGATTAGCCAGTGTGCCCTGCATTTTGCAACTGCGTGGGTCCTTTAAAATGTAGCAAAGGACTCCGAATGGGAAAAATGGCTTCTGGGCATCCTTTCCCCAATGTTGACTTTTGATTTGCATTGATCCTGCTTATTAAATTTTAATTTTTGGACACATGCGGTTGATTTTATTTTTACCTTGTAAGGTCAACCAACTTTTCCTTTTTTTTAAGGCACTAAAACAATTTTAGCTATAAAATTAATCATTATACCATTAAGATTATAGAGGCAAATGTGATAATTAAAAAAAAAGTGGCCAAATCGATAAAGTTTTAACAAAATAGTTAATTAAAACCCAAGTGTGCCAATAATTTTGTTCAGGCAAATTTGGTCCATTCTTTGGTTTTTTATTTTTAATAAATTATTTATAAAAGATAAATTAATGAAGTCACTTGTATTTAACATAAAATGAATGATTCTATCTAAAAATATTTTGTTTTATTTTAATATCAGCATATTATAAGAAGAAAACAAGAGAGAACGCTATAGTCGGGTGCCCCGACTATCAGATACCCGTTACTCAGGTAAAGGGAGTGCGAGGGAGATGGAGATAGAAACTTTGATCACGCATAACTTCTTAACGAATGGTCCGATTTGAAAAATTTCTTCTACATTACGATAGGTATTGATAAACACAATAAAACTTCATTTTTACTTTTCCGAAATATTTAAATTTTTAAAATCGTATATAAGCGATTGTGGGCGTTAAAGGGGGCGTGGCTCCTTTTTGAAACAAACTTGCGCTGCGTAGGAACTCCTAGAATCTGCATGCAAAATGCCAATCTTCTAGCTTTTATAGTTTCCGAGATCTCAGCGTTCATACGGACAGACAGACAGACAGACAGACAGACGGACAGACGGACAGACGGACATGGCTATATCGACTCGGCTAGTGACCCTGATCAAGAATATATATACTTTATAGGGTCGGAAACGCTTCCTTCTAGCTGTTACATACTTTTGCACGAATACAATATACCCTTTTACTCTACGAGTAACGGGTATAAATAGCCTCAAAGTTTAACATGCTTGCTGTGCCAATAATTAAGTTTGTCACTGTACGCATAGAATTCGCTCTCTTGCCCAAAGGCCAGCGAGATATCGCTGTAGAGCCAGACAATGCCACAATAACATAAGGTACTCTTGTTGGCATTTTTATACCCTTGTAGAGAGTATTATAATTTTGGTCAAAAGTGTGCAACGCAGTGAAGGAGACATCTCCTATAGGGTCGGTATATATATATATAAGCATATATATCCGACCTACCAATATAACTATAGCTGCCATATAACTAAACGATTGGAAATGCCAAAACTTTGGTGTTTTAAAAGTTAGGAAGTTGGGGTTTTTAATGGGTTCTATTTTGGGACGACCAATATAATTTACAGAATATTCTGCAAGGGTATATCAACTTCGGCTACCCCGAAGTTAGCTTTCCTCTCTTGTTTTAAATTCCTCTCTCTCTCTCTCATTTCAGACTCATATTTGAACAGTCCAATCAATGTCTATAATACTTACAGTGGCTCACAGCTTATTTCGTGCTGACGTAAAATTTATATTCAAACTCATATAGCTGGCAAACTATACTGAAATTCAGCTATGTTTGGTAGTATTTTGGCATTTATAATGGCACTTCATTATATTTAAACTCTATTAGATAACACTTAAAACTAAGAAAAACTAAAAATACTGACTTTTTTAATGTCACAACTTATTTCGTGCAAAAAACTTCATGTTAAATATATATACTTTTATTAACCTCAATACTTTGTGTGGCTTCCCTTCTGATGACATCCTTCAATCGAGTTTGCATCGAAGAAACCATCTTTGCTGTGGTCTCCTTTGGAGTCTTGGCCCATTCTTCCAAGGGGCCTTTTAAAGATCATTATACCCTTGCAGAGGGTATTAAAATTTTGGTCAAAAGTGTGCAACGCAGTGAAGGAGACATCTCCGACCCTATAAAGTTTATATATTCTTGATCAGGATCGCCTCCTGAGTTGATATAAGCATATCGGTCTGTCTGTTTTTACGCGAACTAGTCTCTCAGTGATAAAGATATCGAATTGAAACTTTGCACACACCCGTCGTTCCTTTGCACGCAGTATATAAGTCGGAACGGCCGGGATCGGCCGACTATATCCTATAGCCGTCATATATTGGAATTTGACGCTAGATGTCCGTACTAACAAATATCGTAAAACCTCGAACTTCATATATATGTCATTTTGAAAGTGCATTTAACAGCTGAGAAATCATTCAACAAAAAAATTTTATCTTGTGTGCATCATTATTATTTTTCACGATGAATAAGTTCGAAAATTGGAGAAAAAGACAGCATTTGCGGGAGGTTCAGTTGGAACTTTTTTTTGCAAAGAAAACTGCTGCGGAAAGAGTTCGTTTGCTTGTAGAAATTTATGGCGACAACGCTTTATCGAAAAAACAGTGTTTTTAATAGTTTCAACGCTTCAAAAGTGACGAATTTGATATCAAAGACAAAGAACGTCCAGGACAGCCAAAAAAAAATTGAAAACGAAGAATTGGAGACGATACTCGATGAGGATTCGTGTCAAACAATCACAGGTGACCTGTACCGAACACAATTAATACTTTTGAGGCGTGCCATCATTGATATACTCTCGGAATATGCGACCAGACACGAGGCTACAATTTTTCATCATGACAACGCTCGGCCGCATGTAGCGACACCTGTCCCACCCGCTTTATAGCCCGGACCTTGCTCCTTCTGACTTTAATTTTTTTCGCTCTATGCAAAACGCCCTCACCGGAATACGCTTCACTTCAGAGCAAGGCATCCGAAATTGGATAGATTCGTTTTTGGCCGGCAAACTAGCGCAATTTTTTGGGATGGAATTCATAAGTTGCCTGAAAGATGGGGAAATGTTGTAGCTTCCGATGGACAATACTTTGAATAAAATATATTGTAAGATTTTTCCACAATTAAGCATCAAGTTTCGATTATTAATTTAATGCTAATTATTAATTTAATTCCGATTATTAAGTTGTACACCCAATAACAAATTGATCGGAAATGCCCTAACTTTGGTGTTTGTAAAGTTAGGAAGCTATATGATATAGATGTCCGATTTTAATTTAATTAAAACCGTAATTCCATAGAAAGCTTTAAAACTGACGGACTAGATTGCGTAGAAAAAAAACATATTAATAGAGAGAAAAACATACAATTATGGCCAAAAAAACATTATTTTCTGTCTGTGTATGCGTATGTGTACTCACTTAACATTTAAAAGAGATAGGCGAAACTTTATCTTAACTAATTGTTTGGAAAATGAAAAACGTAAATATTCTTTAATGGAATTACTAAAAAAATGTTGGGCGCTTCTGGTCAATTCATTTTGTAAAATGTCTAAATAGAACTCCTTGGTCATTGTATCGTTAAATATACGCAGCTCCCCAACGCCTTTGGATGATATACAACCCCCTCACCATAACTGAAAGTTTCCCAATTTTGACTTTTGGCACAATATTGTTCGCCTGGTGGGCTGTATTTGGTTTTCAATTTTTTGCTGCTCCGTCATAATAATACATTATTATTTTGGTCTCGTCACAAAAAATGACGTCCTTTCAGAACTCCGGCGATTTACTAGAATTCAATAATCCAAATCTCAAACGGTTTTCAGTATCGACAGCAGTCAGGAAGGGTTTCGTTCTTGCCACATGTGGCAAAACCATGTTGCTATTTTTTACCTTTCGCTTTTTCGAAGGCTTTTTTGCGGTTTATATCGGAAATGCATTGAAAACTTTTGACTGAAATTATAATACTCTCTGCAAGGGTATAAAATGTAAAAATAAGAAGAAAAGAATATTTATTTAATTATTTGCAAAGCCAAACATTTGTTCTTAAAAAACTATATCTATGTTATAATAAGATATAAATGACTAATATTTAGCATGCCTGCCATTAGCCTCCACTACTGCTCTGAGGCGACGGGGCATCGACGAAATTAATTGGGATTTTCTAAGGGTTTTAAATTTAAATTTAAATTTTGGCCATCTATGATCCCGTCAATAAAACGAGGTTGCCCCACCAGAAGCTGCCATACAGGCCCAAACCATAACAAGACCTCCGCCATGCTCGACCGTAGCTTTTAGGTGTTTGATTTCAAATGCACGAAATAAGCTGTGAGCCACTGTACTAAAGTCAGAGCGATGAGAAATGTGGCTGTGTTGCCGATAATTCTGGAAGTTTTCCGTTCAGTAACCTTAACAACGCGTGCAGAAAGACAACCGCCAAATTCTATATATATGCTATATAGCACTTTCTTTTCAATAGTTTAATGCCCAGAAATCGAAGACTTCTGAGTAAGTGCAGTGTGTCAAGTAATTGTTTGGAATATGTAAAATTTCGTAGAAACCAAACATTATATTATAGCAATAAAAATGTAAATTTTTACATTTTTCCTTTTGTAATATCCTTTAGCTGCCATATAACTGAACGATTGGAATGCCATATCTTTGGAGTTTTTAAAGTTATTACGTTGGGATTTTTAATGAGTATCATATGAATAATTTTGGAGAATATAATTAACAAAATATTCGCCTCCGCCCGAAGTTAGCTTTCCTTTCTTGTTTCTCATATCTTTAGTTTATAATGTTGCTAACTGACATAACGTACCGGAAAATGACTCATAAGTTGTGATACTACAATTTTAAATAGACAAACGACAAATGTAGATCACATCTCTAACCGAGCGTTTTATTTTAATGGGTTTCCAAAAAGGTCATTCCCTATATGACAAACTGTATGTCAATTAATTGTTTGCCAAATTATAAAAAAAAAAAAAAAGGCAGTTAATTGTTAAAAATTTGTTTATGAGTTTTTGTTGGCTGATATGTTAAATAATATGTCAAAAGAAACAAGAAAGGAAAGCTAACTTCGGGCGGAGCCGAAGTTGATATACCCTTGCAGAATACTCTGTAAATTATATTCTCCAAAATTATTCATATGATGCATTCTTAATACTCATAAAAAATCCAAACTTCCTAACTTTAAAAACACCAAAGTTATGGCATTTCCAATCGTTCAGTTATATGGCAGCTATAGGATATAGTCGGCCGATCCTTATGAAATTTGGTAGGTGGGTTTGATTGGCCAACAAACACCAAAGTTACGGCATTTCCGATTAATCAGTTATATGACGGCTATAGGATATAGTCCTCCGATCCTTATGAAATTTGGTAGGTCGGATTGATTGGCCAACTATAAAACCCATAGAAAATTCCAACTTCCTAACTTTACAAACACAAAAGTTATGGCATTTCCGATCAATCAGTTATATGGCAGCTATAGGATATAGTCGGCCGATCCCGGCCGATCCCGGCCGTTCCGACATATATACTGCGTGCAAAGGAAAGAAGGGTGTGTGCAAAGTTTCAACTCGATAGCTTTAAAACTGAGAGACTAGTTTGCGTAGAAACAGACAGACGGACAGACGGACAGACAGACGGACAGACGGACATGGCTGTATCAACTCAGGAGGTGATCCTGATCAAGAATATATATACTTTATAGGGTCGGAGATGTCTCCTTCACTGCGTTGCACACTTTTGACCAAAATTATAATACCCTCTGCAAGGGTATAAAAATACTGGAATTACATAGCTCAATAGCAGACCATCGAGAATTGCCAAGTGACATTCAAACACACTTCACTCTTCACTTACTCTCAAAAACTCTCATAAGACCGTATGCCATGAGACAGTGCGTTGCAAACTTTTGACTGAAATTATAATACCCTCTGCAAGGGTATAAAAAGGATCTTCTGGCTTTAAATGTGATGGCCGATCGTTTATAAGGAATTCTGCTGGTCAAAAGTGTGCTTTGAGTGGGACTTTTGTGGGAGTAATCACAGCATTCAAGAGTGATTGGCTAAAAACGAATATGGTTTCACCACAAAAATACACCATTGCCTTCTCTAAAAAAATTGTGCTTTTGGATAACCGTTTTGATTTTCACAGGAAATCTTGTGTTTGCCACAGCTCTTTTGCTGGTGGTAGAACACGGAGATGCGGATATTCCCAATTGCGACTTTTTCGACACTGCTAATATTACGTCGGCTCAAAAGTTATCAAATGGTTCCTATCTCTATGAAAACTTGGTCATTCCCGTGCATTTGACGGGTGAATATGACTACAAACTTCTGCCGGACGACTCGAAGGAGAAGGTTGAGAGCCACCTAAGAGGATGTGTCTGCAAACTGAAGCCCTGCGTCAGGTTCTGCTGCCCCCACAATCACATATTTGATTATGGAGAGTGCCTTGAAGGGACGGAGGAAGATATGGAAAGCTTAGATCCTTTCCTGAACCTAACCCTGAACAACGGGTCCGTGGTAAAAAGGCACTTTAAAAATGAATTCATAGTGCAGTGGGATCTGCCTATGCCCTGCGAAAGTACGTTCTACCTAGACAGTCGAGATGAAGCGGATAAGTACACACTGTTTGAGGTCTATTACCTTAATAATTATGCTATATATGTGACAAGTTTAACCGGCATTGGCCTCTGTAGAACGGGACATTTAAACGCCACTATGACATGAAGTTTTTGAACAAGCGTGAATACTGCATGCAGCATTTTGAATTTGAAGACACAGTCCAAAACACAACGTTTATTCAAATTGCGCCCCACAATTGCCCGATAGAGCAATCTAAAACGGGAAAGACGGCGCAAACCGTCGGTAAGCTAATATTTACAATATTTAGATCCTTTCAAACTAACCATTTCTTTCTTTTTCTTTTCATAGTGATGATCATTTCGCTGATTTGTATGTTGCTTACGATCGGCGTGTACCTCTTTGTTAAGAAGCTGCAGAACTTGCACGGCAAGTGCTTCATCTGCTATATGTTTAGTATTTTCATGGGCTACCTCCTCCTGCTGCTCAACTTGTGGAGACTATCGGATGGTTTCTGCCTTACATCAGGTAAGCTGATTGCCTAGGAGTAATGCAAAAGTAACGAAATTTCTTCCCATCTTGGCTAGGTTACCTGGGCTACTTCTTCGTCATGGCCGCGTTCTTATGGCTCTCTGTCATCAGTCTGCACCTTTGGAACACGTTCAGCGGCACCTCGCACACGGTCAACCGCTACTTGCCGCAGTCTCGGTTTCTGGTTTACAATTGTTACGCCTGGGGAATGGCGGCGGTCTTTACCGGAGTCACCTATATAGCTGATAAATTCGTCGAGAACGAGGACTGGCAGCCTCGTGTGGGCCAGTATGAACAATGTTGGATCTATAGTGCGTTCCGATGACCGATTTCCGATTATGTTTGTGCCCTCACATGCAACTTCTCTTTCCACTACAGCTATGGAATGGTCTGCCATGCTCTACTTCTATGGACCGATGCTGTTGCTGATTGTGTTCAACATAGTCATGTTTACCCTGACGGCCGTTCGTATAATGAAAGTGAGGAGGGACATACAGGACTTTGCCAACAAGCCAGACAGGAATCATAAGCTCAACTCGGACAAACAGACGTATTTAAAATTATTCAATATAATAATATTTATTATGCCTTCCATGATTCCATTACAGGTACACCTTCTTTCTGCGACTCTTCATCATCATGGGTCTGAACTGGAGCTTGGAGATAATCTCATACTTGGTCCAAAACACACCTTGGTCTAAAGTATTACTGGTGGCCGACTACATTAATTGGAGCCAGGGTATCATCATATTCGTCCTGTTTATTCTGAAGCCCAGCACGCTGAAACTCTTGAAAGAACGGTAAGTAATCGACTGCAAAATTGTGCAATTAGATCGAATAACCAGGTCCCATCATTGTCTCTGCCTGAGCAGCATTAAGGGTGGGAGTGAGGAATCAGAGCCCGGTGACAGCGAAGAAGAGATCTCGCTTGCGAATACGAAATTTGACCCAAATGTCCTGTAATAGGTAATCCGAAGAGAACTGTGTCTTTGTTTACTTGGTGTTGGAAACCCTCATTCTACTAATAAGCCAACTAATAATCTTGCATGCCAGTTCAAAGACGGTGTTTTAATCGCACGGGTGTTCCGATATTTGTTTCTAAACACTTACACATGGGTATTTTGCTTGTTACCTACCAAAATTTTCTGCTTTTCCCTAGCAGGGCGTTTGTCTCCTGTCTTCACCTACTTTAATTGTTTGTTTCACGATAAATACTGCGTTTTTGTATTAATTAATTCTTATTTCATGTTTTTAATAACTTGTATCTCCTAGAAACCATCCGATGCCCAAATGGATTCCCGTCAGTACGAGGTCAAGAGTAAGTCGAAAGTCGTCAGGTTCGATGAATCGATTAGAAAGAACAACCTGTTCGGCGCCAAACTCATCATTGACGTAAAAGTCGCATTTTTAAAACGGTCTTTCAGTTTTCTTTTTCTCAGGAAATCAATGCATGTAATATTTTTATAATAATTAGTTTAACAAATTTACATTTATTCAAATCACACTGACATCACTCTAACATTTTTAACAAATTGTGCTACATTGAGAGTAAAAAAAATATAAAGTCTAAATAAGAAGAAAAAAAATAGGTTTTGATTTGCTGAACTTGCTTTCACGGTTTATTAGTTTCTTCTTGTAGCTTACCATTTAAGACGAAAATATTGTTCTAATTCCTTTTTTTCTCAAAATCTTAATCTTAATCTTAATATCTTAATTGTCAAACCTTTTCAATAATTTTTCATAACGGAAATACCAATAAATGAGTATTAACAACACAAGGAAGAATCAATTTTCGCTAGATAACGAAAACACCATTAAATAAATCAGTATAACAGGACGAGTTGTAGATGAATAAATTTTCGGCCCCACAATATATCGTAATACATCAGGCTGCCGACAATTTAGCCACTCAATTTTCGTCTGCGAGACACGCCCCTTTCACGAAAAGCTTCTTTATCGAAAGAAAATATTTTTCTAAATGCTTTCTTCCCAAAACCCTCAAACTGCCAAACCTTTTCAATAATTTTCTATAACGAAAATACTATTAAATAAATGAGTATAACAACACAAGTTGTAGATGAATTAATTCGTAATTGATTCAATTTTCGACTGCGAGAAACGCCCCTTCACGAAATGCGAGCACGCCGACAACTACATATATAAGCTTCTTCAACGAAAGAAAGTCAATCAAATTGCAAAATGGTCATGTTGCGGGAACTGACTCAATGGATTTGGGCCTCTGATGTGGACAGCGGCATAATTGGATCCATAGAGCTAAATGTCTGGCTTGCCCAGTTAATGGGCCTGCCGCTTTTGGATATCAAGACCGAGTCGAAACCCCAGAGAATTCGCATACTCGCTACCAGTTGCATTGTGCTGCCGTGCCTCTTATGCTATGTGTGCCTCGAAATATATGACCTGGTGCTGAACTGGAACGACGTTGACGTGATGACACAGAACGTGGTGGAGACGCTCACCCACTTGGGCTACTGGTTTAAGGTCAAGGTCGACAGCGAAGTGCATATTATTCCGCAAACTATATACTATTAAAATCTTAGGTGCTCAATACTTTTTACCACTACGGGGAGATAAAGCGGATCGTTTCAAAGTTTAGGTTCCTCACCAGGACTTGCGTCGTATCCCGCCAGCAGAGGACGACCTTCCACCAAGTGGAGGTCCAGAACAAGCTGGCCTGCCTCACGTACTTCTGTCTGACAGTCTTCTCCTCGACAATGTCCTTGGTCATGTTGCTGAACGGTGAGTAAGGGTCTGAATCTCCATTGCAACAGAAAAGTTTTACACTTAATACCTTCCTTTCGAGCAGAACCGGATGCGATGGCGGGAAAGCGGTTCCCATTTCGCGTCTATATGCCCAGTTGGCTGCCTGCTCCGGTACAGCATCTATACATGGGTCTGTGCCTGATTGTTGTCTGCTGCGGCCTCACCACCATCGACAATACGAATGTGCTGCTCATGAACCAAATCTGCCTGCACCTCAAGGTCCTGAATCTGTCCTTCGAAGCCCTGGAACTTGATTTGGACAGGCGGCTGGAGGTGGATCCGCACAGCTGGATGCAATCCATTGTCAAGTATCACTGCAGTCTGATTGAGTGAGTGGATCCCGTACAGTTAAGCGTTCCGGTCCTAATTATCCTTCAGTTTGCGTCAGCGGTTGGAGCGGGTATACATGCTGCCCGTCATGTTTCAGTTCGTATCATCCCTACTCGTAGTGGCCATGACGGTGTTCCAAATGCTCTTAAGCGACGGATCCAACAGCTCGGTGATCATGTACTTCCTGCTTGTGGGATTGATGTGCCAGTTATTCCTCTACTGCTGGTTCGGCAACGAGGTTTTCGAGCAGGTTAGTCATTTAAACTCCATATGTCAAATGGAATGTATCTATCTACTTTTCCACCGCAGAGCAAGACGCTTTCCATCTCCGGATTCGGCTGCGATTGGCTCCAATTCGACATTCGGTTCAGGAGGTGCCTCCTCATCTTCATGGTGAACGCGCAACGGCCTCTCCTGTTCACAGCGGGCGGATTCATGGGTCTCACTCTGACTAGCTTCGCCAACATCTTGGGCAAGTCCTACTCCATTGTGGCGGTGCTGCGACAGATGTATGGCAGGGCCGAATAAACTGAGGCTTTAAATAAACATATTACTGGTCGAGGGTTCCCTTACTCGGGTTAGAACATTCGTTTAGCCGCACTATGATAATTGGCTGTCATAAAATGTGTTTTCATACTGTAGTTGATTGGTTTTGGCTTGTAACCTGGTATTATTTAACAACCTATCATTATATTTTTGGTCCCTATTTTGTGAGTTACACTGTGAGACGATAATATATATCTAGTGCTGACTAACTATTTATCGAATCTATTACCAATTTTTTATGAATCAGTGTCTCCTATAAATGCCATCTTTGATTGATTTACGGACAGTTTAGGCTTTGAAAGATGAGGTTTTTTGCACGTGAAATAAGTATTTTAGTATTGCCAATGGTTTTCTCAGAAATTTAATACCTGTTTTGTTCGTGCAAAAGTATAGAACAGGGAGAATATATTCTCTTTCGCTTTCGGATCTCGGAAGTGTCTACTGCCGCGCTTAATTTTATCAAATACTTTTTGAAGTGACTTCCTCCCAACAAACAAGAAGAGACACTGTTTTGTGGAAGCAGCAATCATCGTTCAAAGTTTATTACTGGACAAAGTTTATTACTCGACAAAGTTTATTAGGTATACACAATGTGTTCTTAAGCTTTAACCATATTAGAGCCTCTATCAGTAATACATTTAATATTACCAATATTTTGAAAATTACATTTTTTAAACAAGCTTTTGAGTGTGTACTTTAAAACATATGAATCGTTGCAGATCTCTGATATCTCATCGCAAACACCCCAAAGAATAAACACGCTCGTAAACAACTTGTCAACAACTGAGGGCAAGGCATTTTTAACGAATAATCAGTCTGAACAATTCCTTTCAACTGTTTCTTTTCTATTTCAGAATTTTTTTTTGCGAAGGAATGCCGAGTTTTCTGGGATTGTTTTGCACAGTTCTTTTATTGATTGTGAATTGTGGCCTACAGAAAACGAACGCTGAGATTCTCGGATGTGATTTCTATGACACTATAGATATTTCGTCAAGTCGAAAGTTACCGAGTGGTTCTTATATATATGAAGACTTAGTTATTCCCCTGCATTTAACTGGGGAATATGACTACAAAGTGTTGCCAGACAACTCGAAAAAGAAGGTGACGAGCCACTTAAGAGGATGTGTCTGCAAACTAAAGCCCTGCGTCAGGTTCTGCTGCCCTTTTGACCACATAATGTATGGTAGTCTATGCTACGATGACATGACGATGGACGAGCTGGACGGACTCGATCCATTCCTGAACGTGACTCTCGACAACGGGTCGGTGGTAAAAAGACATTTTAAAACCGAACTCATCGTGCAGTCGGATTTGCCCATTCCTTCCAACCTAATGTATTTAATAGACAATCGATATGAAGGCAATGAGTACACATTATTCGAGGTCTATTTGCTCAATATGTGCTGAATGAGGTTTAATTTGCATTGCCCCTCTATAGAATGGAACCTTTTTACGCCACTATGACAACGAGTTCATTAATAAGCGGGAATACTGCCTGCAGCATCTTCCCTTTAAAAATGGAAATAAAACATCCATTCGAATTGTGCCCTACAACTGCTTACTAGAGCCCCCGAAAAATTGGAGGGCCTTGGGTAAGATAAAAGTTAAAGGCAGCTTCAGTGCTTAATGATTTATTTATTCCCTGTCTTTCTACAGTCTTGGTTTTATCACTTATTTGCTTGATTTTTACGATCAGTGTGTACCTTTTCATTGAGAAGCTTCGGAACTTTCATGGTAAATGCTTTATATGCTACATGGTTTCTCTATCTATGGCATACCTTCTCCTATTTCTTAACTGGTGGGACTTATCGTTTGGCTTCTGCGAAACAGCAGGTTAGCTTTTTGATTTCGATACAAGATCCATGAACGAGTTTATTATTATTATGATATATTTATCAGGTTTCATGGGCTACTTCTTCATCATGTCCACCTTTTTTTGGCTTTCTGTCATCAGCCGGCATCTCTGGAAAACAATTAGCGAGCCCTACCACTCGGCCAACCTTCCAAAGCGTCAGTTTCTGGTCTACAACATTTTCGCCTGGGGAACGGCGTTGGTCTTGACTGGAGTTACTTTTATAGCTGATCAGGTCGTGGAGAACAAGGACTGGAGTCCTCGTGTGAGGGAGTTCTGTTGGATCGATAGTGAGTTCCGAATTTCAATTGCATTCGACTTTCCTCTTAAGCTGCTTTCCACTAAATCTACAGCTCGAGTTTGGTCTGCCGTGCTCTACTTAGTTGCACCGATTCAGGTGCTTTTTCTGTTCAACACTACCATGTTTATCCTTACTGTTCTTCACATTATAAAGGTAAGGCGGGATATAGAAGACTTTACACAGTACCAGAAGGGTGCCCAGAAGCTAAGCGCTAATAAACCGAGGTAAAGGAAATAATAAACACATACAATGAACATTTTTATAAACTTGTTTCAAATGACTTCCATATTCCCATTGAAGTTACACCTTCTTTTTGCGTATCTTCATTATGATGGGTGTGTCGTGGAGCCTGGAGATATTTTCCTTCTTGGTACAGGGTCACAAATTATTGGAGAATATTTTTGTGGTGACTAGTCTCTTCAATTGGTCCCAGGGTATTATCATATTTGTGCTTTTTGTTTTGAAGAAGAGCACGCTAAGACTCTTGAAGAAACGGTAAGTACTTTACTTTAAATAACCATATCTCAAATAAAATATCTTCCTACCAGCACTAAGGTTGGAATAAGAAAAATACATTTTCCCCAAAAAACCACTAATATGGCTCTTTTAATAAGAAATCAAAGAAAGTGATTTTGTTTGGTTTTAAATATTTGGATTTAAAAACATTTTCCATAATAAGCAAATTAATGCAATATTCTGTGCAAAAAGCAGGATAAAAAAGATTTTTTCCAATTGTATTCTAACTTTACTCCGCTTTAATTAATGCTGCTCGTCGCAACTTTTTATTTGTATTTTAAGTTTTCTGTGAAACTATTAACATTTTGTCTTTTTAGTTTATATTCTACAAAAGTAAGTCGATGGTTGACCGGGAATTCTTTTAATCAGGAGTCAATCAGGCAAATAAGTAATTCAGAAACATAAGGACGAACTTTTATAAGTAAACACCCTGTATTTCTTATATTTTGACATCGAATATAAATCTGTTTTTTCAACACCGTCTATATATTTATGTTATAACTCATGCAACCTACTCATTTACCATAATACCATTAAAATTTAATGGAAATAAAAATGAAAAACAAAACTTTAAAATGCATACTAATGGTATGTACTGCTAGACTGTTTTTAGCGAGTAACCTGTTATCATGTGCCATGGTATTAACCTATTATTATATTTTTGACGTAGAACTTACTATATTTAAAGTCGATATCTAGAATATATTAAATACATTGTGGTGTAATTTTACTTTACGTGGTCGGATCTGTTCGTGACTTTACCATTTGGTGGAATACTCAGCTGGGGCTCAATAGCTTTTCATTTGCAGCGGCAGCTTTTCGCCGCAGCTTTCAGTTCAAAATAGTGGCACTGCGAGGAACCGAGGCAGCAAAATTGGAGCACAGCAGACGAGCGGCTTCATTCGGCCGATGAAGAAGTTCATTTGCGGGTCGATCGGCGTACGATAAGCGTCACTTCCCGTTCTGTTCGCATATCTCTAAATAGTAATTAACAAAGCAAATTTGTCGAGCGCAAAAATCAAGAGTGATTAAAACTTTGTGATAAAAACACTGTGTGTGTTTGCCAATTAAGAACTCCTTGGACAATTGGAGATCGCTCTGGGGAATGTTCCGCGTTCAAGGCCTCTGTGTTCGGGTATCCGCCCCTTGGCGAGTTGCGAAACCAGAGGAGCTTTGCCTGATGCTTATAATGCGACTTTAATGTCTGGCTCGGCCCACAACAAACAGTCGCGTTGACTCTTCATGTATTGCCAATTGTTTCGTACTGATTTTTTTTGTGAACCTATATTTATGTACATGTGTCGCTGCGCCGAATCAATGCCAAAACCAGTTTCTGTCTTTTTCTCAAGTTCGTCAAATGACGGCAAGCTATTTTCGGGAATACCGCAGAAGCGTCTGTTTCTTGCTTCTCCCGAAATCAATTGGCACGTTCCTGTCGCAAAAGCCATTTAATGGGATTTTTAACTGATTATTGTCTGTTATTCAGTATTTAATACGCGATATTATTGCTCAGTTCGATCAATGTATGGTCTTGGCCATATAAACAATACTTGCTTGGTCTATCCAATCCAGCTGATTTCGAACACGTCGTGCAGCGTTTTAATGAAAATAAAACATCCGTACCTTTTGGGGCGATTCGGCTTTACGTGCTAATGCTTTATTTTCAACTTTTGAGACGTGGGATTTGGCTTCCTTTAAATGGCTTAAACCTGCCGTTGTATTTATTTATATATATATATATAACCCTAAAAATTAGTATTTAGCGATGCAAAACGATAACAGAGATGATTTCCATTCTGTCCCTTAAAAGCCATCGATGCTCTATTCTTGGTGTTTTTATTGCGAGTGTTCCAGGTTCGGTTTTGTCCAAGGCCAATGGTGACTTATTGTTCACGATCTATGGTTATCACTGTGCACAGAATGCAGTGAGTTCTATCTCTGGATTCTTCTTCCCAATCTCTCGATCAGACCGAAGAAGAACGGATCAAAACAAAAGAGAAATCTCGTTGGACAGTTATGTAGCCAGAGTATTAGTTTGACTCAAAAAGCTGGCCTGGCGCCCTGCTAATTAATTCGCAAATGGAGCATGTTAAACTTTTTGAGTCATCGCCACAAGTGCTCGTGTTTCCCCTGGGGCCACTGCTTAGCTGAAGAAGTCCATTCACTGCCCGGTAATTGTTTTGTTTGCCCACAGACACAATCGAGCCACTGTTGGCACTCGATCAAATTTCGCATTGTTCGCCGCTTTGTTTTGCTTGCCTTTCAATTAGCGATGTCGGCGAACCACTCGCGCGGCTAACAGCCCGATAACAGGGCTCTGCTATGTGGCTCCTATGGCTGTTAGTTCCTTCGGTGTGGAATCACACGCAGCTCCTCAGTTCGCGTCAAGACCTCGTTGGCTGTGGGTGCTCTCCTCGGTCGGATCGAAAAAAAAACTCCACTGGAAAACCCGGCAAAACAGGGGCAGCCATTATTAGATCGGAATTACGAATGTCAATGTTAATTAACACGTAAGCTAGCGTGTGATTTTGCCGGTGTCTAAAGCCCGAAGCACCGTAACCGGTTCGCGTGCGTTCGCATATTTACACCCACTTCCCGGGAATTCCCCATTACCTGAAGTTTCAGAGTGCGCCAGTGAGTGAGAAATATTGAGAAAGAGCCGAGTTATAAGCATTATGGTTATGAGGATCTGTTGATTTCTTGAGAAACGTTTATGTGGTTACCCACCTTGAGCCGCAAACTCTTCCCAGACCCAATTTGCATAAGCAAACCTGATAAAAAAAAAATCACACAGACAACTCGTAACGCCAGTCGAATTTAAAACCGAAACCATGTTTCGTTAAAGCTTTGTGCAAGGCGACAACAAAAACCCGTAAACCCCAAAAGACTCTCATAGAGGTTCGAATGTTTTTGTTTACCCATCTATACCTGGTCAGTGTTTTTAGTTATCAATACTGCCGAACGTGAAATGCAAGTGCCAACGAAGTTCCCCACTGATCTATAACTGGAAAGTGAGCGAACTAAAACAACAACAGGAAGAACTCTGTTGATCAGCAGCAAACAACCTCAAGTTGTCCACATTATTCATCACATTCATTACCAGAGCGGGTAAGTTGCATGCCATTAACTACTGGGATCAGTTTAAAAATGCCCTAGCTTGCAATAAATTAATTAATGGAATAGGCATTGAGCTCTTTTTATAGTATCTATATTATTTAAATATTTCCGAATATCAAACCGTTTCCGCGTTGACAATTTTCTCTTTCATAGAATTCCAACAAAAGAATCCACAACGAAAAGTAATGGGTTCTGGACGACATTTATATTTATAAATTAATGAGTTCCCATTTTTAAATTAATGATGAGTGAATTTTATGGTATATGGGTTTACATAATATACCATTTTGTTTGTTGGATTAAGTGGATTTGTATCACACTGAAATATTTAAATTGAAATTGCTTAAGTTGCTTATACAACTCTTGAAAGCTTCACTTGACAAATGTATCTGACTCAGTTGATAAGCTTCGCACTTGTAGAAAATATGTGTAATTAACCGATAGCCAATAAAAAAGTAATTGCTATTAAGTTTACTCTTTTCAAATTCCTAGATTGGAAAACCAGAGCTGAAAACCGCTAATTTCATGACAAATACTGCCTGACGCCTGGGTAATGTTTATCCAACTGTTCTCACTCGTTGCAATTTTATTGAGTCACTGAGAAAATTGGCTATTATATCGAAATGGCCACCCCCCTAAAGGCCGCACCTTGGCCAATCGAATCGGATCTGAACTGTTTCTTTCGTTTCAGAATTCGATTTTATTAAATGTTGTTTACACTTTCGCACATTTGGCTGGGAATTGTTGTTGAAACATCTTGGGAATATTGTTTATTGTTTGCTTTGAGGTCTGTTTATTTCGCTACAATTTTTCCAACCTCCTAAGCATTAGATAAAAATATATAATACATCTCCAGCGAAGTGCCCTAGAATTTTATCTAAATATATATTTTAGGTTTGGGCTGCCACTAGGTTAGATAACCAGTGGGGCAGCGTTTAAAGCTTCATTCACCCACACGAGAGATTCGCCAGTGGGTAGTTGTGTTGCTTTGCTGTGCATTTATTTCCATGATAAGCCAAATGCATGCACCAATTAATTAGTAAAATGCTTTTCTAGTTAACAGTTTGCTGGCTCTCCTATCTCCAGGGCAAATGAGGATAAATGGTCTGTCTGGACTTCACGAAAGATCATTACTAACACAATATATCACATTAATCTCCAATGGTTTGTGGGGGGTACAAACTTTAAAAAATGTTCCCTAATCTCATGCTTGCTACTACTTAAAACTCCACAAACCATATAAAGTTTACATTTTACAAATATTAAAAGAGCTACCAGATACTTCTCTTTCCAATTCAGGTTTAGATAGTGCATGCCAAGCCTTTTTATGGGATTAATTAAAAACTGATTTCGTTTTAAGAATCATCGTCGATTCTTTTCGTTGCCTTCTTTGTTAAAAAGGTTTAAACGAAATCTTAAAACAAACAAAGCAAGCTAAACAGCCATATAAATAGTTATGAAAGAATAATCTCTGATCCCCAGGGTATTCACATTTCTTGAATGGCCCCACCAATGCTTTCACCTAGCTAATGAGCTCGAACAGACATCCATGTTGACGGGCATTTATCTTCGTGGGTCTCGAGTTCCCTAACGGGATCTGTTGACTGTTGAGCCTTCCTCCGCCCGGAAAAGTCGGGTGTCAGAGGAATAATATTTGGCGAACTTGCCACCCGCCCACTCTAATGGCAATCAATTGATAGAACCGCCCGCCTTTGTTTACAATCCACAGACAGCATCGGGGGTCTAAAAATACTCGAGTTGGAATTTCTCACGAAATACACAGAGAGCCCCACCAGCAAACCCGTCAATGGGTTGTCTATTAAAAATTGTTTTGCCAACGTGTTTGTTTGGAGGGGAAATAAAAAACATTGGGCCCTGTAATCGCGGTTATCTACCCGAAAACCCACCGCAGCCCACCACAGTTCAACTTTTGTGTGGTGACTTGCAACCATGGGCTCTTCGCAGGGTAGTATCTCCTGTCTTGGCGATTAGTTCCAATTCTGATACGGACTGAAACCGCGGCCCTTGTTAAGATAATGGGCATATATATAAGAAGTACTTCCAGTGTTTTGTGTGGCATACGTGATAAGCACTAAGAGTGGTTGAAAACATAAGCGAAAAAACCCAAAAAAGCCATTATATATAAAAACTGATTGCGGATAAAATTAATAAACATATTATCATTTATGTGAGTGGACGTCTCATGAGTTTAAATTCGTTTCCGTGTAACCCAAAACGCACATAATATACATGAAAATTCGCCAACTAGTGTTTGTTTTGTTCGGTCATTTTTAATATTGATATGTTGATGGTGTCGCAGTTTGTTAAATTGCGTAAACGTCTTGTGACACTCGTGTCGATAAATCTTCTACGCCTGGGATTCGGCAAGTGTAATGGGATCTTAATGGCATTTAGTAGGGCTTAATGCTAGTGAATGACTCAGAGAATAGGTGCCCTGACTCACGCACATCCTGACCATGGACAATCCGCAAACTGTCCTAATTAACCAAATTATAACCGAGTCCAAAACCAAAAACTTGAGGAGCATCTGTAAGTAATAACCACCATCAAATGGCTCCATATTTCACTGGAACTGGGGATTCGATAACTTGCCACTCGTGGAACATTCTACATATATAAATAAACAAGAAAGTCATACTCCTTTGTCAGACATCAGCAAGCGGCTTTGGCCAATTGACTTTTATCTTATCGGTTACCGACCACAAATAAGACATTTTATACGAGTCGGCTACGAAAACATATCAACAGTTTCCCCCTTTTGCGCTACCATCTAAATTTGTATTCATCGAAGCAGGAGAAGCGCAGAGCTGTGAAAATTTTCCCTGTTGGTTTTGATATTATCTCGCTACTAAACATTATTTGCCCATTAAGGTGTGTTCTATATTTGTATTCAATAGTTAATTGCATTTCGTAATAATAATATTTTTAATAGAAATCCCTTCCAAGTCGGTAGCCCATTTTCATTTGAGATTCCTAGAACCACTTTCCCATCATTTCGATGGCGCCATCAATCAAGCGATCAATGTAAGCCCCGATCGGAATATTAAATCGACTTCACTAAAACTGGGAATCGATTCAAAATCGAATTAAACAATTCAGCCTGAATAATTGTTTGGCCAATCAAAATATAAATACACAAAAAAGCTGTAGAACGCCAAAAGAGATTTATAAGAAATATTGCTTTTATCATGGCGATGGTAAATTATTTTGGCACTGTCGAGGGGGCAGGGAAATTTCAAGAATTCATGTATTGGAAAATCTCGCTGGCCATAATTCAATTTTATGGCCAATTGTTTTCATGATTTTAATGTTCCGCATGTTTTGATTATTTTTCAAACATCCGCACTCTTTTGCACTCTAAATGTGCGGAGATGTATACGATCGAATGTGGTCTGAGAAAATCCCCAAGTGCATGTGCTCATCGATTAATTATGCTAATTTTCTATCGCAAGATAAGTGGTCCCACTCCAACTCCTGCTGCCAGTATCCATTTTCCCCATTAGCCAACTATACGGCGTTTAATGTGTTTGCCCTCCGCCACCCAATGGCCTCCCATAAATTCATGCTAATTTTGTGGCCCACGCGCAGTGCCGCAGGTAACTCCTCTCCTCTCCACCGAAAGTAAACAATCAGCGGATCAATGAATTAGGTCCCCACAGGCTAATGATGCAAGATAAGATAGCGAGTGGTATAACTTTTGGCACTGGTAATGAATTTATGGACGGTCTCGTTAGCAGCGCTTGAAAAGTGGGTAGAGCTGGATTGGAGCAGAGTTCGGGGGCTGGGGGTTATAAGTTAGATGTCACCGCTATTGACAGACGACGGCAGTTACTATCAATTTAACACGAATCCATAAATGTTTGTTCTGTTCGCACTCCCTGCGTGGCTGACCCTATGATTGATGCCCCATGGAGACCTTGGATAGTCGCTAGTCTTCCCCACGGGACTCGTTTGCCAGCTAATTGCTTCTGACGCTACTCCCTCTCCTTCCTCCTTCAGTCCTTCGACAACCTGTTGTCTGTGTGGATGATTCATTAATTAATCTAGCTCCATTCCCCGAGTTAGTGTCCTCGCTTAGCTAAGCATTTAACGACTAACTAATGGGTAACCTGAAATTATTTGGTTCTTTTGGCTTTCTTGTGTCTCCATATCGAACCATACTTAACCGAATAATAAAAGAAAGGTGACTTTAAATTTATGGCTTAATAAGATAATGCATTTTTTGATATAAAAGTTATCCACCTCTTTCCAAATCTACGTACAAAATAAGCCTTTTGTATACGATTTCAATAGGTCCAGTTTATAAATAGTCAAGTATCGACAGAAAATTAAAATTTATTTTGCAAAAAGTACCAAAAGTCTTCTGAGTTATAATATACCCAAAGATCTTGGTATAATAATAATTTGGGTAAAGTATTAGAATTGAAATACTCATATACTGTTCTATCCACAGAACCTCCATTATGCCGAAGAAAATCCAGCAACGCGGCGGATCCCTGTACTGTGGAGTTACTTTGCTGGGGATCCTGTGCCTAGTGGTATTCCGCCTGATTCCAGGGATTCCTTTCGGGGCTTACGTCATGGCCGAAAAGGACCACTACCACACCATAGATGACCCGAATGTTCCCTGTAATTTCTACGACACTGTCAACCTAACCGGGCATAGGGTCTTCCCAAACGGAAGCTACGACTTCTATGGCACGATTATTCCCCGAAACCTGGTGGGCACGTACGACTACATACACAGGTCTCTAACGGAACGCATAGAGGTCCCGATGCACGTCAGAGGTTGCGTCTGCAAACTGAAGGCCTGCCTCAACATCTGCTGCCCCTGGCGACATATCTTCAACTCCAAGAAAGGTGAGTGCATGGTGGACCACGCGGACAACCGCACCTGGCCGGATCCACCCATGCTCAATGTGACCTTCGCCAACGACACGGTGGAATTAGTCAACCTTTTCGAGCAGTTTGCCATTCAAAGCTTCCGCCCCTGCCCAAAGATGTTCTCTCTGCAGCCGGAAATATACAACTTCGATGAGTATCAGATTTTCGAGAACGGCTCTATGCTCCGCGTGGACGATGAACTGCACATCAGAAAGAACGAATTCTGCCTTGTGCCGACCATTGTGAACGACTCGGACACGTTCTACCGCCTGAACCCGGCCAACTGTGACATGGCCGACGAGCACAGCACGGTAAAGATCATCAATGCCTATGGTAAGTGCGCTGTGCAATCTTATTCATCCCATTATACTGGCTAATAATCCGACTTTAATCTTTCCCACCAGCCATGCTCTTCTCAATTCCCTTCATGTTGCTGACCATAGCCGTTTACCTATTGATCCCCGAGCTTAGGAATCAACACGGCAAGAGCTTGGTGTGCTATTTGGTGGGCCTCTCCATCGGCTACACCGCACTGTGCTATGTCCAACTGTACAAGGACATCGATGCCTTGGGCATGAAGTGCAAGCTGTTTGGATACACGGCCTATTTCTTTTTCATGGCGGCCTACCTGTGGCTGAATGTCATCAGCTTCGACCTGTGGCACAACTTCCGAGGAACGAGGGGCATCAACAGGTTCCAAGAGAAGAAGCGGTTCCTGTTCTACTCGCTGTACTCTTGGGGTCTGGCTGTCGTTTTCCTGGCCTTCACGTATTTCGCCCAGGAATTCAGCAGTTGGCCCTCATATCTCAAGCCGGGGATCGGGGATGGCACTTACTGCTGGCTGGATATGACCAACTGGTCGGCCATGATCTATTTCTACGGACCCATTCTGGCGATCGTCGTCACCAACACGATCATGTTCATAATGACGGCGATCAAGATCCACGGTGTGCAGCGGGAGATGGCGAGGATCATTGCGAGCGAGAATAGCACCAAGAACTTGCGAACCGAGAAGGACAAGTAAGTGCGGTCCTCATTTATACTCTTCATTCAATTCCTCCTAATTAGGGTTCGTCCTGCTCTGTCCACCCTCAGGTTTGGGCTCTTCCTGCGCCTCTTCCTCATCATGGGCGTCACTTGGCTTTCGGAACTCGTCTCCTTTTTCGTGGGCAGCAACAATAACTTGTCGAAGATTTTCTACATATCGGATCTAGCCAATGCCATGCAGGGCTTTCTCATCTTTATGTTGTTCGTAATGAAGAAAAAGGTCAAGAGCTTGATAACAAATAGGTGAGTTTTGCTCCACTTTGATTAAAAGTTGTGTTTTGTCCCGCCCCTTTGGGGGTTTATCCATCCATCCGACCCGAGGGTCCATCCTGAATGTTGTGTCCACCACTGTGTCCACCATTGAATCCTTAACCCGACCATTCCCAGAACGATTCGGGTGCGCAGTCTGCGACAGACTGAGAGCGTAACGATGGGGCCGACCTCGATATCCATGCGGCAGCGCTTTATGGACGCCTCCAACCAGATTCGAAAGCTAGTGGTCATCCGCAACGCATTCGCCAATGGCTCTACCAGCGGTATTCACTCACATGAAGTCTGAATTAATGCCGTCATTTTCAGTAAGCAGGTTCAATTCTGCTCGATTGTTGTGGCCTTCGACTAACCCGCTCTTTGATCGACAATATCAGAAAAGAGCTAGGCATATGCTCTGAGAATGCCTGTACCTTAAATCTGTAGCACCTGAATAGGAAAACGATTTATCTAAAAACATGTCCGAAAGTTTCGAAACAAACATTATAAATAATAACGCTAAAGAAGACTGTGTTAGATGCAAAAACTAGAATGTTAAAGAAAGTAATTTCATAATTTGTATTTGAGAATTACTCTACCACCTATCAATTATGACTGTTTAAAGCCCTTGATTATATTTTGCCTTTTATGTTGTACTTAGCTCGTTGTCAGACCGCTTTTGATATTGCTTAACTGTAAGCTCAACACCAACAGAAACAGCCAGCAGACTAACATTAAACCCAACACTGACAATCAACACAATCCCGAATCTCCAGCCGCCTAGAGCTGTACCAAAGTAAAACCTAAGCCACAAGAACCAAAATCCGTCCATTACGCATCGCGTATTCGTAGCTACTAAACAGTAATAACATAACTAAGTGCACTGATCTAAACAACAACATATGTTTGTATCCACAATGTGTGTCCATATGTGCATGTGTCCCAACATCATGTGATCATCGAACGTTGTCCACTGAAGACTGATGGAGAAAAAGCGCTCGAATGGCTTAAACTCGTCCACCACCTCGACTTCCATCACTTCCGACTCGAATGTGCTGCCGAAAAAGCTGCACCTTAAGGCTGTTGACAAGATTGGTGCGGTTGCCACTGATCCGAGTCCCAGGCCGAAGGCAGCAGTCTAATCAAACTGGTTCCAGGTAATCCTCGACCGTAGAAGTTGCCATCTCTCTTGCGGAGAGTGTAAATAACCTAGCTAGCTTAATAGATAACCCTGACTAACCCCTAATAACCCCTTCAATCCTTATCGTAGTGATTTTTCACGTATGTGTCTTGGTTAAGGTAATCTGTTTTGATCCTATCTCATCAATCGCATTCTGTGTTTGCTTTTCGCTAACCAAAACCAAGCACTCAATCGAACCCGTTCTAATCAGATTTACCGCCATTGTCTATTCCACACTGCCCACGCAATGGACGTCATAACCGCAGATGCTCGAGTGTGCGCGATGGCAGCAACCAACGTCAGAGCCAGTACTCCACTAAGACCACGTCGAGCAGCGTGGCCAACCTGTCGCTGCACGAGAAGCCGTCGGTGGAGAAGCCGCTGGTGATCAGTGCCAGCGTGGATCCTCAGAGAACCACCATCTTTCGCTGAGCACCACACCACCAGCCGTCTCGGGCCGAGCATCGAATAGTTCATAATGGAAGGTGTCCACAGAGAAGGAAGGGTAATTCATTCTACAAAGAAATCATTGGAGCAAATTGTTGTCTAGGGATTATCTTCTTGGATTGTAGCTTTTCTATTTTCTCATTCTGTACATATAGAACATCAATTTCTATATCCATTAGAGTCCCGGCAACATAATTGCCCCAATATCTAATCATTGAATGCCGTTCCCATCCTGATCTTGAGGATATCTTCTAGATCCCGCAGCAGCAGCCATATACGGATAGTACTTTATGAAAGACACTACTATAAGAGGAAGTCCCTATCCAAACTAACACGAGCCATCCTCACTCCTCTCTCTTTTATATGTCATGTGACCACGAACAACCTGATTAGTTGTATAAGAACGCTTGCAGCGCCATATCTAGTATTTATGCCTATGAAATTATAAAGGTTCTTTGAACACCTGCTAAGAGGGATCAAATTTTATACTTCTCCACTAGCCTAAGTGCAAGATAAACATCCAGCATATACCTTACATATATATGTGCCTTGTTGAAATTGAGAATTGTATTTTTTGTTATTCGTACTGCTCTCTATACGTATTTACGTATATTTGTACCATTCTCCATATCTGCATATGCATTATCTTTACTGGTGTAATAAAAAATTAAGAGAATTAAAAGTGTATTTCAAGCTTAATAAAGCCAAAGATAAAAAGAAAGCAATTCCTCAGGCGATAGACATATGTCTACAGTGTTTCTCTAATTTATTACTTTAAAACAAAAAGCCGTTCACAATTAAGCGGGGACACACAAATTGTGGTGAGAACTTGATCATAAAATGTGTTTAGCCAATAAACATACCGTTTTCTAGAAAAACTTTGTGTAGACTGGACACCCACCGTGTTGAGTTTCCCGAATTTTCAAAAGCAATATCTAGGTGAAGTAGTTTAGATCATTAAGTTGGACCCTCCAACTAAAAAAAGTTTCAGCTTTTAAAAACCGTTTTAAAAACCTTTTTCAAGTTTTACAAAGTATAAACAAAATATTATAAGAACAAAACTACATTCTCAGACACCTTTACCCTGAAATGGCTGGAATAGCTAATACCACAGCACTGGTGCCTATCAAAAAATCCATTTTTGAATGTTCCAGTCGCGCTGGTTGAGATTCCACGGCCGATTTCTGTGAGAGGGACGGGACGGGACGGGTTGGAGCTGTGGGGCTGTGACTGGTCTCCATCGCTGCTTTGCCGGTTGCTTGTGGTCGCGTCTGGTTTTGGGGCTGGCTAATCAGTTAGTCTGTTTTTTATTCTTGGGCAGAATGGAGCTGCGTTGCGGTTGCCGGTTTGTCGTTTAAAGAGAGAAAGAAACTGGGAGAGTCTCTCCATCAGGCTTTTATGTTTATGGTTGTTCTTTTTGGTGTTGTCGTTGTCGTTGTCGCAATCGCAGCCGTTTTTAGACCCGCGCCAGCGTCGTTGTCACTTTTTTGTTTCGATTGTTGTTGGTTTGGATTTGTGACTCGGCGAGTGTGCGTGCATTGCCAAAAGCGAACGGCGATCGCTTCACATATTTGTTTACTTAATTATCGAGCTGCTCAGCCTGTGACGTCAGGTCGACGAACGAACAAACCGAACTTCCACCAAGCGTGTTTCATTTAGCCATGGCTTCGCTTTGGATCATCCCACTGAGTTTTTGGCTCTTTGTGGGCGTACGACCAATGGAGATTGCCAGTGTGGATCATCCCTGTGCCTATGCGGACACTGTTAACATTACGGATGGTCTCCGGTTGAAGGATGGCTCCTACTCGTATGCCGGAGTGCTGGTCCCACCACATTTGATGGCGGAGTATACCTTCAAGGTTATCGATGGGGTTGAGTACCGGGCCAAGAAACACCTGCGCGGATGCGTCTGCCTGATGAAGCCCTGCATTAGCTTCTGCTGTCCAGAGAATCTCGTGTTCGACTCCAAGCACTGGAACTGTTCGAAGCCACACCAGGTACGGGAATCTACTCACGTGGAGCTGACCTACGGCAATCGGTCGGTGGAACAAGTGCGCATTGTCGATCGGTTTGTGGTGCGCACAGAGCTCGGGTGCCGGAACAAATTCGCTGACAAGAAGCACGAGAACTTCTGGCAGTGGGATCTCTTCGAGAATGGATCGCTGCAGAGGGACAACCGCCTGTGGACCACGGATGAGTATTGTTTTACTCCCCTGGAACACAAGCCCGACCAGTGGGGACTCACTCCACTCAGTTGCGAACGCTTTCAAACGGGATACCGAGTATGGATTTACGCTATTTGTAAGTAGAGCCTATGGTTTTATGCTTTGCAAGGAAATACAATATTTTTCTCTTTTTTGCAGGCAGTATTATAGCCATCATTATCAACGTTTTTATCCTCTCCCTGCTCGGTTCTGTGAGAGATGCCAGGAAAAGTCACTATGGCCAGCTGATCATCTACTACCTGCTCTCCATGATCGTCGGCTACTCCTTGTTAGTCTATTTGGCCCTGAAGAATCCCATGAAGCTCTCACATACTGCTTGCAGGAATATAGGTGCGTAATGATTACTCTTTAACCTAGACCACTTAACTTACTATTTATGCTCCAAGGTTTTCTGGCCTACTTCTGCATTATGCTGTCCTTCGTCTTTCTCGCCATTTGCAGTTTCGACTTCCTGCTCAAATTTAAACGAAAGGCTGTTAGGAACTGGGTTCGCAGGTTGTCGTATGCTATGGCAGTCTTGGCGGTTATTGGTCTCCGGTTTTTAGTGTCTTTTGCCCAGGACTCCAAGCTGCCCAAGCACTACAAGCCAGGCATGGGAGCAGATTATTGCTGGTTCGATGGTGGGTTACTAAATTATATTTAACATTTCCTATGCAAACATATAATTTAACTATGCGTTTTCAGTTCGCACCTGGGGTATTTTGATCTACTATTACGGACCCATTACACTTCTACTGGTTTTCAGCATTGTGTGCTGCTTAAAAGCCTACTTTTCCATCTATGAACTGCCTCCGGATACTCAGTACATATTGGGCACTCAACTGAAGATTGTCAAGACTCAGTAAGCACATTGATTGCACAATTAACTTAAGCCACAATTTAATCCTGTATCGCCACTCAGTTTCTACGCCTTCAGTGCCTACATAGTGGGCGTGTTTGCTGTCTGGATTCGTGAAATAGTGGTCTATATAATGGCCAGAGTGAGAGAGCATTTCTTCATCATTGACTTCTGGAGTGGAATTTGCATTCTGGGCTTGGCAATAGCTGGTTTTATTCTCTTACTCGGAAAGAATTTGCACGTGAAATCCTGGTGGGCCATCAATGTGTAAGTTTTGATTTCCGAATTAAAGAATGGAATTTTTTGTAACTCACTCACTATTCTGCAGGGAATCAAGTCAAACTGATCTGAGTGTCATTAATGCTCGCGTCTATAAGTTTGATGAGAGAGGCGATTTGAAATCTTCAGGTTGGTACTTAGGCTCTCACTTTTATGTTATCTCCCTTTAATATTGATCTTTTTCTTTACAGACTCTCCCTATAAGCCGACAGTGACATCACTTTAATTGGAATTGAGATGATTGCTCATCTATGTACTCTGGTATTCACTTAGCTTATGACTCCTTTAGTCTGTCTTACACAGTTAAGTGTATATAATAATAATAGTAAGTGCGTCAGTATACTAGCCCTAAGAAAATTATTAAATAAACTTACGATAATTTTCATTATCACTGCTCACATTGTTTTTTAGAATTAGCTGGTCTATAATTATCAGTGTCAAAGAAAATATTGTGATTCACCTTACCCTTAATCATCAAATGAATATTTCTCACCGAGATCATTTCATTTATTCCGATTAGCGAATAAACTCTTAATTCTATAGGTTTCGCAACAACCGCCCCCTCACAAGTTATTTCTTTATGAATAATTTGTCTAGAGGCAAAGCTCACGGTAGACACCACAAAGGGGGTTCCCGCCTAACGGTTAAATCGTAAACAATTCCTCGAATGTCCACCCACGAGGGTCGCTTGACTCGATGACGTGCTTCGAGACGGTTGGATTGAATGACTTCAAGTCGAGCGGGTCGACTGGATTGGCCGCAAGCTAAGTGGCACGCAACAAATGCTCCGGTAATGACGCAATTGACAATGCGCCTCTATCCCTATCTATCTATCCGTACTAATATCCGTATCTGGCGCTGTATCTATGCTTATACCTTCAGAGTTTCCGGCCTTTTACTTTTTGCTCGAATATTTAATATTTCTGGAAAAATTAAACAAAGACGAACAGTAAAGACTCTACCTTGAGTGGGTAGAGTTATCGGTAAGGCAAACACCTGATAAGGGCTTCGTATTCTATGCTCAGAAAGAGGCGACGAAATAATATTAAAATTATTATTTATTTATTTATTTTTTAATTTTATTTGTTAAATATTGATGGCTGATACCTGCAGCGGTAGACCTAATAAACTATTTATTGCCTGAATAAAAACTTTTTTACAAAAAAGATTAACTTTATCCTTCTTTAGTCAAAACCGCCTTATCAAAAATGGTTTTTTCCTCAAATATAAACAGAAATCTCTGAGCACATCATTCGATGAGCACTATAGAGCATTTCCTGACCATTTTGATGTTTTCCGGACTGTCTGTCCCCCCTTTTGTTGTTGTAAACAAAATGCCACACGTTCCTCGCACACCTCCAAGCAAAGTGGGTGTGCGCCTTGCCACGCCGCAAAAACACGACGAACACACCACAGACTGCCTTCGATTGAGTTCGCTGGGAGTCGGTTAGCAGTCCAAGTTCGAACCGTGTCAGGAGCAGATGATCCGGCGCTCAGTCAATTAACCGCTCGCACCTTTGAATTCAAGCGGCGTCATCAGTGCATTACAATTCGGTGTCTATCTAGTCCATTTCATTTCATTTCATTTCGATTCGGTTCGATTTTGGTTTGGCAATCGTCTGGAGGTAAACAGCCATAAATTGGACGCTCTAACGTAAACAAAAAGTATTCTGAGCAGATAGACTGGGACCAAAAAGAGATCGGCAGTCAAGAATGTCTCTTCGAATGGCGCAGTTCTGCTTTTTGGGAGTCCTCGTCATCCTCTCGGCAGCACGCTGTGCGTGGGGATACCACGAGGAGACGCATTATCCCTGTGCCTTCATCGACACGGCAAATATAACGGGGAGCTACGGTTCGGATGGTTCCTACGTGCACAACTGGACGATGATTCCCCGCCATTTGGTGGCAGTGTACGACTTTGTCATCGAGAACGGCATCCGCATTCCGGCAACACCACATCTGAGGGCCTGTGTCTGCAAGACGACACCTTGCGTGCGGATTTGCTGCCAGGAGGGCGAGATCTACGACCTGGAGAGGAGGCAGTGTTTGGTCCCAACTGTCGAGCTGTCCACTCTTCCTTCGCAGAGTCACATGCAGGTGGAGTTTAACAATGGCAGTCTGAGGGACGTGGAACTCCAGTCACGTTTCAGCATCCATGTGGGCTTGCCGTGTGAGCACATGAAGACGGTCACCAAGGGATCGGAGTACGTTCACTGGACACTGCATGAGGTGTGAAATGAGATAGCCTCTTGATCATCACTTCATTTTCGATCTCCACCTTTATAGAACGGAACTATCACCCATAGAGGTTACACATTCTCCAAGCACTATTGCTTCACTCTCCTGCTCCACAGGAACTCCACCTGGGAGTGGCAGCCATTGGCCTGCGCCCCAGAAAAGCTCCACTTTGTCTTGGGCGTGCGGGAATGGACCTACGCCATATGTGAGTACCACAAACAAACATTTCTCCAATGATTAGGCCAATCACAAATATGTTTTCAATTTCGTTCGGGAAAAATGTGTGTTTTAAAAATAGCACGCTCATAAAAGTAATTACCGAAACAACAGAAGGAAATTGCGGGCGCCGATTGATAGTTTGATCGCGAGAAATGATCTTTGGCTCCAAATTTATCCAGCTGATTCTATTTGCAGGCCTCTTGATTGCGATAATATCCATGTTTATTGTGCTGATCGTGTACCTATTGTGCTCGGAGATGCGCAACAGTTTTTACGGTGTGGCTATCAAGACGTACGCCTTCTGCATGATCTTGGGATATGCCCTGTTGGGTTATCTCACGCTACACAACCCGGCGAATCTCTCTAATGCGGCTTGTCGCATTCTACGTAAGTGCTATCCAAAGATTGTCCTGTGATTATTAAACTTTTCTCATACCGATTTAGCAAGCCTGGCTCTGATGTACTTGGTTCTTTCATTCTACATTCTGAGCTTCATTGCATTCAAGCTCTACCTGAGCTTCCACGGCGTGGTCTTCACCAAACTGATGTTTTGGCTGATCTTCACTCCAATAGTACTGATCGCCGTGGGTTGGTCCATTTTCGTGGGCTTCAGTTATTACGGTTACCGCCTGATCTTTGGAGGAGATACCTGTTGGTTTGATCGTGAGTATTATCGGTGGGTTCTTCATTGGGACATGATCCTTATCCAAGGCTTTATTTTTCAGCTCGAAATTGGTCCATTATGATATATTTATATGCCCCCGTTTTTGTTGCCTGTGCCATTTGCGCATTCTTCTATATCCTCAGCCTGATTTACATTAGTGAACAGCCAGAGCTCGAGACTGAGAAGAGCTTCGAGTCCATCGAAAAGAACCGCTTCAGGTCCTTTTGGAAGTACGTCGGCTACACCGCACTCGTGTGGCTCGTTTGCGTCTGCGTTTTTGCATTTAACTACTACCGGGAGGAGCGATCACATCTCAATTATGCTGTGAGTTTCTGCATGGCTTTCCATGGTTTTGCGGCGCTCTATGCCCTTATTGGAAAGAATCAGCAGATACAAAATTTTTTGCGGCGCATAGATAAGTGAGTACAGAGAAAAATTTACGGTTATTCTATTTCATTATCTTACTAAACATATTTATCTTTTTTTAAAGTGAAGAGGACACCTGCGAAAACTCTGTGCCGTTGTCGAGTTTCGGTTGAAATTCAATTTCAAAAGTAAACAGTTTTGTGGTCACTGTGTTTCTTGGCAACTGGAATTAGTCGTGCCGACAACCCTAAGCAATCGCTCCAAAACCAAAACCATCTGTCAGTCTAGACAAAAACCGGAAATGCTGAGTACAGAGAATATTTTTAAATAAGTTTAAGTCGTAAAGAATGTCTTGTAAAAAATGTGTAAAATTAACAAGCATATACGTTTTATTTTAATATTAATTAATGTGAATATTTGTCGGCCTAGTCTTAATTTATAAACATTTGATATTGGTCCCCATCCATTTTCTTGAAAAGTTATATGAAGAATTAAAAAAAAACTGGGGCATATGCTTTGCTTTTGAAGCATGAAGTAATAATGTAATTAATTTTTAATGACTGTTACTTTGAAAAGAGAAATTACCCACCACAGTTTTTATAAGAGATAAATTATCAAACAAAAATTGTATTAATGAGCATTAAATTGTTATGATACCTGTTACTCTTAATTTTAAAAACTATTTAGATACAGTCAAAAATAGTATTATTTATTTATGATAAATTTAATAATATTTTTAGAAATAATAGCTTGTAAACCCTTTATGCCTTTACTCATAAGGTCACAATCAGTGTGGGCTAAATCGCCGAAAATAACAGTTTTTGAATTGGGAAATAATAATTGGTAAAATGGTATATAAATGGAAAATAAATAAATTAAAAATATAATACCTTAACATTTTTATATTTAAAACAACTTTTCGAGGGTTTCCTTGAGTTTGTGGCTACAAGTTTTGGCCTTCCCCTTCGACCGTTAAACAAATGCAACAATTTCCAATTGCTGGCGTATCCAATTTAAGCTTGGCCATCAGAATCACACAACAAAAACGACCCGAACTCTGGCCAACAATATACACGTAAATAACGTAATTTACACAACACAAAACAAACTCTGAAGTTGGCCGTAAGGCAACTCTAGTCGTGGTCCTGGAGCACCACAGAATCCAATCCACGGCAATCCACTCATCCTGCCTGCCGCCCCTTTCCCCTTCCCCCGTTCCCAAGTTGCAATTCCCTGGACCGTGGTCGAGTGTCCCCAGTACCCAGTACCCAGAACCCAGTACCCATTCTCTAGTCCCGTTCCTGCCCCGATCTCTCTATATAATAAGTGCGCGCCGATTTTGTTTGACATCAGAGGTCAATGGCCGCGCAGCAGACAGAGAGAGTCGGTCGGTCGGCGAGAGAGCTGCATCCTTGCATCCTGGCAGGGGGCTGGGGCTGTCAAGCGCAAGGAATCAAGTGGAAAGTGAAACGAGAGGCGGGAGTTTCCCACTTTTCGATGGTGCTCTTTTGATGTTGCCTCGGCCTCGCTCAACTCCGCCATCCGCCATCCGCAATCCGCCATCCACCATCTGCCATCCCAACTCATCCCAAAAACAGACCCCACCCGAACCCAAACCCCGTATCATTTCTAAACCGAACCCGAGGACCCAACTTCGGCTCTTGGTCCTGCTCTTTTTTTGGCTGGGCGTACAGCAGCAGGATACACAATACACACCGAGAGAGGTCGAAGGATATAGAGATAAAGAGAGAGAGCAGATGGATCGATAAAACGTAGTAAAATTTCTCGTAGTAATGGAAGCTGGAAATAAGCCCGGCATACACAATCGCCAACTGCATCGGCATCGGCGGCTCCAGCATCCTGACGTGCGCACTGGAAAGTCCTGAGAGGTAGGACATGTTTGGCGCGTTTTTCGCCTGCATGTGTGCGAGTGTTTTGTTTTGTTAATATACGTATGCAAAAGTGCAAAGGGAAGGGGAGGGGAAAAAAGGCAAGCCAAACTCGACCGCGCCCTGTTTTGGGACTCCCCCATCCGTATAGACCATGCACCCACCCTAGCTACCTACTAGCCCATCATATCTATCTCCTGGCAACGAAACCAACATGAAAATTAATTACTAAATGACTTTATGCTTTTTAATGGCCCGATGGCAGTTAAAGGATATTAGACAAGCCATTAAATGGCTAACTGGTTGCGGCTGCACGACCACGCCCTAAAAATCCCCCACATCCCACAGAGAAGTCATGTGTGGAGGGTGAAACTCCATTTGGTTGAGGTAGCAATATCGATATTGGAAATAACTAATTAACATTCGGAGACATTCTGGGCAGATTGCAATACTTTTAAGGTGATTTGACTCACACTAGGAGCCATAAATGATCAATGATTTTGACTTAACCTTTTCAGCATAAGTTTAAAGATATTCTGTAAAAATTAAGTTATTTATAAGAAACCACGAAATTTTCTACTTAAATATTCAGCACACTGACCCTCCTCTTATCCCACATTAAAAGCTCTCCTCCTCCACGCGTTTCCGGTCACATTGTTGTCCCCCTAATGACTTGTTACCCCAAGAACAGCAAAGCACGTAAAGCAAATCAAATACAATAAATAACTTTTAATTTAGCATTTTCGAGAAATTTACAACTCGAAGAGTAATTTATACCCATAAATGTCCCCAACAAGCAATTTACCAACATTCCCCCGACCCTCTCAAAAACTGAGGCATTATAATTTATGAATTAAAATAAGAAGCAAGAAAAATGCCAGAAAATAGTTGGAGAGGAGTGGGAAATATGATAAATTAAAGGCGAAGCAAGTCGAAAGTAGAAAAACAGAAGGGGGTGTGAGCACCATCATAAATTCATTGATGAAAACCCACGAACAGTTAGCCGAAGCAACGTGGCCACTCTTTCTTTAAAATTTTTTTTTGGGTGGTAGGGGGGGTGCCATGGCTTCGATTTCTAGTAAGTCATAATCACACGCCGTCTTCTTCAGACCCCTCCCCCTCCCCTATATAACCCATGAGTTATTTGGGCAGCGGCCTTTGGACTCCCAAAGTGGCATATGTACGTGTGTGCTCTCGTTTCTCACCTGCAATGACACCTTTTCATTTGGCTTGTAGTAATCATGAAATTTTAATTATTTGTTTCTCCTTCATTTTTTATATGTTTCGTTTTCTTTTCTCCTTTTTTTTTTGACTTGTGTTCGCTGTTTGCTCATTGTTGTTTGTTGTGCTTGTCACTTGTTGTTGTTTGTTTACCAGGTTTTACCAGGTTGCTGTTGTTTAGCGGGTCTTGAGATTTATTTCGTGCGCTTCTCGAAATGTTTGGGTTGTTCAATTTACACAACAGCCAGAGCTTGAAGCGATCGGCCCCACATCTTCAACATTCTCCGCCATTCAGGAATTCATCGGGGTCTTTGGTATGCCCTATAATTGTGTGATCGCGATAAAGTGAGGCGCTATCAGAATTCATTGATCAATGTGGGGTGGTTAGTGAGTTGAGGGAAAAGCGGATACAGTTATGGTTGCATAGTACTGTTGTATTTAGAACTATTCCATTACTTTTCAGCTTTACCTTAAGGTATATTTTATATTGATTATCTATTTATTATTATGTGAAGGCATGGAGCTTGCCTCAATCAATATTCCCATGGTATTATCGCACACCTGTTTGACCTCTCTGGCGATCGCTCACCTTTTCGTTCATTACTCGAGAGCCCCATGACCATAACAAAATCCGCAATAGTGGAGCATCCGCTTCGGGGGTTCCCAAAGTTGGACAATCTTTTATGGCTGCGGCACGTGTAAATGCTTAACACAATTTTCAAGTTTTCTTTTTCGGAAGCTTTCGTTTGGCTTTCTATGGACAATGCGCCATAATCGTTTTAAGTGTTGAGAGAATTACGAGAGCAGTTAAGGTTACACAGCGCAGAGTCATAGAGGAGATTTGGAATGAAGAAACCAAGGCAAAAACCGCTTGACACATTCAGCGAGCTCCCATCGTCATCGATCTTTAACCCCCTTTTCCGATTCTCCCCGCTCTGAAGGGTGGGAGCGATGAAGATATCTCCATCTTTACAGAAGGGGATCAGCCATCGGTTATCGCTCGTCGAACGCTCAATTAACGGACAAACAGCGGCGCTGATGTGGCAAAATAAGTCGCAGCATTCCAACTTCCAACCGGCAACTTGGTCACCTCCCAACCCGAGAAGATCCGACCCAAAGCGACAGCACTGGAGTCTACCATTCCCATGCAACAATGTTGCAGAAGAGCATATCGTGCCGACATCGCCAGTGCGGAAAAAAAAAACAGCGACATCTCCGCGGCATGAGTGTGCGTTTTTTGTGCATGCCCTCGGCTTACAGGGTATCTTAAGGAGTATCCGTTGTTAAGTGGAAAAGGACTGTCATTATATCTTGGTTAGTATCTATCATGAACTTAGCTAGTTAAATGCTTAGCTAAAAGTGAGTAGGAAAATCGCGAAAATAATATCTAATAGAGATGATTGTACAACAAAAATAAAAATTGTATTTTCAAGGGATTCCTGAGCACTGACAAAACAATTGATACATCGCAAAACAAAAAAAGGAAAATTTATGTAAGATAGTTCTAAGTTCAAGAACAGAAAAGTCATAATTTCAAATTATTTTTTTTACCTTTAAGGTATTTTTTAGTCGAACTATTTCCCAATTTTTTTGGACTCCCTTAAATGCTTTAACCCATTGACGACGGCATATCGTTCAAGGAATTCCAGCGCCTGGCGAACTTTTTCCGTTTTTGTTTGCGGGTCAACAACAACTGAAGAACGAAGGAGGACAGCAGGGAGGATGTGAGATGGGCGACAAGGGCGGGGCCGAGTCAAGCATCTTTATGGGCACATTGCGAACTGGGAACTTGGAACTGCGAGGTGGAAACTGGGTGCCGGCGGATCCATTAAGCTAAATGATGGGCAGCCGCCCAAATGCTGCCCTGCGGCAACAATGTTGCAACTCCAGCAACGACAACGATGGCGGCACATTAATGAAGTGATTTGCACTTTTTGCCAGCTCCTTTCTGACCACCAACAACGGTGGAGAGGGGACGAGCAGTTCGACATGAGTTCCCCGTTTCCAGGAACAATCCAATCCCATCGAGGCGGTGGGTGATATTTATGACAGCCGCCGTGGATCATCGTGTCACTTATCAGAGCCCAAAAATCCACAGCGAATAACTCCCTGGAGCAAGAGAAGCCGAGTCTCCAGCGATTTGCATGGAGTGTTGCTAATTGAGCTCATCGAGGAACCGATCCTGACATGGTGAATCGGAGCACTCTCCTCGGAGTAAAGCGAAGCCGTCGCATCAGTGTCAGAAAAACCTCATTCACACTCCATGGATTTCCACATGATGATCGTGCCACCTTCAAGAGCTGCTTGTGCAGAAATGCTCGTCTCCTGCATAGGATAAACTCAACTCGAGATTCTTTATTCTCGCCGAAGAGATCCCTCTTCTCTAAGTACTAATGTTTAATTCACACGCTCCTCAAACTTTTATTTGCGTAAGAGTCAGCATCTCTCTTCATTTGTCTTTCAAAACACAAATAGTAAGGGTCTACATTCAACAACGATAAGTTTTTTAAGAAGTTCAATCCATTGATCTTTTCCAATGGAAAGCTGTTCGCTCTGCTTTGGGATTTGCCTACTGCTGATCTATTTGTTCAGTCAATGCCGATCGTGAGCGATAGTTGATCTATTGCACTTTTGGGTCTCCAGCCAGTCTCTCGCATTGTTCTCGATGCGCGCACACGATTCTCCCGAAGCCACGATTCCTT